AGGTACCACTGCAATTAAAAGTTGAACCAACCAGTTAAAAAAAAAAATTACCTAGAACTCAATCTGAATCTCAGAAGTCCAACCGTGAAAGCCGACCTAAGATAATTTGTAGGCGCGGGGAAATGAGTCACGCAGCAGGCAAAACGCAGACAGACAATACAATGACCAGACTGGGGAAACAAACTGAAAGGCGGACTACATATAGAGGACTAATGACAACAACCAGAAACAGCTGTTCACAAGGGGATTCCACACGGGGTTAACAAGGGAGCAGACGATCATGGCAGGACACATTGTTTGGATCCATTTATTTTCTTAATTAACAAACTACTGTTCATTTTGTGTTTAAATGCTAAAATAAACATATTTAGGTGTAATTTTTTTGGGGCGGGGAACCAATTAATTGGTTTTCCATTATTTTTTATGGGGAAAATCCGATCACAACTTTTTAGGATTTGATCCGGAGTTCTGAACGGATTAAATTCGAGTTCTGAGGTACTACTGTATTTTATTTGTCCTGACTTCTACCTGGAAGTGTTTAAATTACAGGGTTCAAGCCCTTTTTTCCATGGATTTTGAGCTGTGCATCAATAGAAGTCACATCAGTTTTATATATAATATAGAAATGAACATAGTTGTTACATTCGTTTCCACGGCTCTCTTCGCCTGCTTCCAAGTCCCTCGTTGTGACAATAGTAAAATGTACATAATGAACAAAACATTTCTGTACAATGGTCTGTTGTGTCTAACGTTAAATATATGTTTTTGTTCATCTACAGAATAATAAGCTATAGAGATGGAGAGAGATGATTCAGAATTGGGAGTGGGAAATCGTTTGCGTTTGACTCTTTTTTTTATTTTTATAAAATAGACCTTTTTAATGCAACCTCAAGCCAAATTTAAGACCAAATTGTAGGTGGAAATATGTTGGCGTTTGTGTCTTTTCTTAATAAAGTACACACATACTATTACTGAAACTGCCAGCCGAATCGTGCTCAGTTAATACGAATCGAGAGTATGGCGTTTAATTAGTGCCAAAACTTGGGTGCTACCACTTTATCGGTTTTTGAGGGGAAGCCCTGCACACAGTTATTGCAAGAAGAGAAAAATGTTCCTCGGTCACTAGATAATGATCTCAGGTAGCTGATTGGCTGTCACTGCCCGACAAATACAGACTCCAGTGCAATTAAATCAATATTAACCAGATTTACCAGTTTTGCTCCAGTTTCATTTTTGATTTGGTCACCCAGAGGGTCTGCTGACAGACAGACAGCTATCGCAAGTGGCGTGTTGAGGGGCTGTCAGCTGTTCGCAGTTAGTGCATGGGATGGTCATTCATTCACAAAATGCATAATTTTGACCAGAGCATGTAAGTGGGGCTCATCGCTCACGGAGCTGCACGCTCCTCCAGCTCTCCCCACTTCGCTCATAATCGCCTTCCTCTAGGGTAAATTTTAATCCCGCTCCAAGGAAATCGCTCACCTCTGTCTCCAAAAACAAAAATAATCTGCATCATATTTCAATTTTTGCTTAAATTTTAGCCTGGCATCAAAATAAATGAGCACACTGTATAAAAAAAAAAATCGTAGAAAAAGAGAAATTCTGGCAGCAGGGGTGCCAGAATTTTTTTTTAATAAAACATTGAATCGCTGTACATTTAATAACAGTAAAAAAATGTTAAATAACGTTTCTTTCCAGTACTGTGTGTCACGAACAGGTGTTATGCCAAAAAACGCATCCCTGCCTTAGAATGCATGCCGGTGTTCCGACGAGCTGAACAGGGTTTTTTGGGGGTCAGGGGTTTTTTAGGGGTTNTTTTTGCTTAAAGCCCTACATCACCTGGGTTTTGGGGTAAACTTTTGCAATGTGATCAAAATGTTTTACAGCAACATTTATAGCTCTGTTTCTCTTAACACTGGAATGACGCCTAGGTTTGAGGTGCAGCGAGGTATTCGTCAGGGATGCCCTATTTCCCCTAAACTGTTCATCCTGACCACTCAATTGCTGGCGCTGATCATCCAGAATGACCCTGATCTGCAAGGTATAAACATTTTTGAAAAAGAATTTAAAATAAGTAAATTTGCCGATGATACAGCTTTGTTTTTAAGAGACAAATCTATGGTAGTTAAAGCTCTCAACACTGTCTCATTCTTTTCCCGGGCTTCAGGACTGTGTCTGAATATTAAGAAATGTGAATTGTTACCTATTCACACATGTTCTGATTTTAATATAGCTTCCATAAGAGTAGAACCAGAAGTGAAGTATTTAGGTATAGTGATATCTAAAAACATGATTAGAAGAGAAGACACCAACATCTGTAGTCGTATTTTTGACATGAAGAGATCTCTTGGTTGTTGGCTGACTAGGGATATCACTATATTTGGTAGAGTCATTCTTTCCAAAGCTAAAGGTCTTTCTAAATTAATTTTTCCTTGTCATTCTCTGTATGTGTCACGATCCGTTCCGTTCGATCCCGATGTGTGCCACGCCCCCTCATTATCCACGTGTGCTTTCCCGATCGTGCCCAGCTGTTCCTTGTTATGTTGGCTTGTCTTCTGTATTTAGTCCGCGTCTGAGTCAGTCTTCCCCAGATCCGTCATTAATGTTTGTTGGTGTTTTGGTCCTGTCCACCCCAATAAACCGCGTTTGCCTGCAGTTTGGTCTTGCCTCGCCTGCTTCCCGGCTCGCTTCCCTGCCGTCCGCTGACAGTATGTTTCTCCCCAAAACATTAACAAAGCCAACTCAGTTATTTTTCAATTCCTGTGGAAAAATAAAACCCACTATATTAAAAGATCACAATTTGTGAAGGATTATGCTAAGGGTGGTGCTAGAGCTTTGGACTTTGAATCATTGGTAGGGACTTTTAAGATTAACTGGCTTAGAGCTTGTTTAATTTGATCTGATTCCATGTGGTTTCATATACCCAGATCTATATTTAAGGAATTAGGAGGAATTGATTTTTTATTAAAATGTGACTTTGAGATCAGCAAAATTCCTGTTAAATTATCTAGTTTTCACAAACAGATCCTTTCTTTCTGGAAAATGATATTTACACACAACTTCTCTCCCCACATGTCAACACTATGGAACAATAGAGTGATAACTGTTAACAAAGTCATTGTATACACTGTTATCCCTAAAATTGTATTAATTCAAAATACTTAGATTCAATAAACATAAATACCAAAGGTTTTGCCCAATTACTCCATTTGTTTAGTTTGTTGTATGATTTGCATGATATTTTTCATTCTATTGGAATGTTTAAATTGAATGTACTTAACAGAGCTTATTCTAGTCTGTTGTCAAAGAAACGGTGTGCAAGGAAAAATGTGATTGGCTCTTTGAACTGACGTCACGGATGGATACAGCGCGCATTTTCTAACGTCTGCTGGTGACTGTAAGTAAGACTTCATATTCATATTCATACTTCATATTGTCTCAAACAGCTCATACATTGTTTTTCCTTTATTAAACAAAATATGTAACAGCAAGAAAACTACATGTAAGATTAAGCTGTGTCTAACGTTAAATTCATGTTTATTTTTGCCACGTTATTGTTCCGGTCAATTGCAACCGCCACCGTATAAACGATTATTTTTTCGGTGGTGGTTATGCATCGTCAGAAATGTTCAACATAATTATTAACGCAGATACAGGTACAACGCAACTTTATCACTGACCTATTCGAACTTTTTTACATTACTTTGTGAGTGAAGTA